ATGGCTGTTAGATACCGGGGCAAAATTTGCACACAGGGTGGCGGCGGTGGTAGCCACCAGGTCCGCCGCCGCCACCACTGTCTATATCCTTCTTATTTTTACCATTGTTGTTGTTATTATTATTATTATTACTACCGACAGCATAAAAACCAGTAATGCGACTATCACCATTAAGTGCTACCAAATACTGACCATTATTATGATACAATATAATAATGCGATTATTTTTATTATAGTAACTATTGTTGTTTTTATTGCATAGGATGTCGTTTCTTCTTCGCCGCTACAATAACTGCATAAAAAGAACGTGATGTCTGCCTCAGTTCTTGCGAATATCTACATTTTAGAATATTGCTTACCAATATACTACCACTAGCTTCTTCGAGCATCACGTAAGTACATATGTATATATCTATCCACCGCTGTTTTTTTTTTTTTATGTGACTCCCATACCCCATTCACGTCTTTTTTTTTTTTTCAACTACATTATTGTGTATGTATTTTCTTTTTAGATTTCAAAATAATAGTATTTTTCAAATATTTCTGTTAAATAATTTTTCTTTTAGTTTTTATCTGCTAAAAATTATAAATTTGTTTCATTTTTTTTTTAGTAACCAATTTTTTTTTTTTTTACTTTATATGACTTCTTTTTTCTTTTTGTTTTTTCTCCTTTGATTTCAACTTCAAATTTTAGCACACACACACACGTAAAGAATAATGATAGTAGATAATCTCGAACCACCGGGTCGCACATTGGCCCAAAACGACCCGAAAAATATCGTGTGATACAATAAGTCCCCTAAGGTAATGTAAACCCCGTTTGAATCCCTTTCTTTAACACGTCCTTCGACAGTAAGACTTACACACACACACACACACGGTAAATATATACACTATCTACCACCGCTATCAATCACTACGCCATGGTACACATTACTGACATATAAAATTATATATATGTAACCGGTGTTCAGTCCGTCTTCATACTTTTTTATCTCTTTCATTTCCCCACCACCTCCTTGAAGGGCTTTTCTATTCGCCACCTCTTATTTTTTTTTCGTCTTTATCAATCTATCTAAGGGGGGGGGTCTATGACTGGTGTACCGAACATTCAAACATTTGCTAACCCTCCTGCAACAACAACTATGACTCTCAAGTTTATTTTAACATATCCTCGTCTACGCCCTTCGTTTTTATTTTTATTTTTTATTTTTTTGTCGTTATCCATGACCAAGAATAAAATGTCAGAGATCTAAAAAAAAAAAAATAAACAAAAAAAAAAAAACTACACACGCACGTCGGGTGAGATATCTACGATCTTACAATGTTTACGTTGTGCTTTTTTTTTTTTTTTTTTTTTGCTTTCCTTCTCTCTCTTCTCCAACATATCGGGAAATAAAGGCGTATACCAGCGTGTACACAGGCAGAATAATGTCCATGATAAGACGAGTTTGTCGATTGTATATCGTTAAAAATGAAAAACCAATCGCCTATCTCTATGTCAGAGGTATTATTAACGATTTTAAATAAAATCGTCAATAAACCAATGTACAACCACATCGTTTTAGGCGCGGTCTATCGTTCAATGAATTATACGTTCTACAAGCCAAAAGGCAAACATATTCGTCAATATTAGCCGATGTTGTTTTTATGTCGTCTGGCCCGTCATTTGTTTATAATATAATCTAGGCTAAACTGTACGTATTTTTATATGTATCATAAATTAGGACACTTATTGCGATTTTTTTAATTATTTATTTATTTAGTCATTTATTATAAAGTTTTTATTTTTGACTGTATTATTCATTATTTTTTAACGTGATGATTAAAAAGAACAAAATTATAAAAAAAAAAAAAATACAAGAATTTTTATTTATTTAGAATAGAAATATTCGTTAATTGTTGGGGGTGATTATTTCCTTTCTTACAACCCACACACACCCGTGTATACACTTTGCTCCTCATACGGATATATTAGTTCTGGAAAATGAAAACTGAAAACGACTTTTTTTTTTTATTTTCTTTCCTTTTTTTCTACTCGTCTACAGTACATTTTCCGATAAGTTAGTCACGTGACTAAACACAGCTAGCGATGTTTATGTCCCATGCTTAAAAAGATCGTTATAATAATCACGATCATTATTATTGTTATTACTATTATTATTATTTGTTTATTCTTTGGCAATTAAGAATGTATTCGTAATTTTCGGAGGTTCCGGTGAAATCTTAATCTTTTAGTTTTCAACATAAATCGGACTGAATATTTGAGAAATCTTATTGAAGAAAAATATGCTCTTTGAAAATAACATATGATAATATAGGTGTGTGTATAGTTCTGTTAGTAATATGTATATAAATACATAAACTGAAAAATTTAAAACGTGTATATATATATATATATATATATATATATATATATATTTTAAAAATTGAGAACATATATGTTCTCAATTTTTAAAAATGTATATATTTTTAAAAATAGAAAGAACACACACACACACACACACACATATATATATATATATAAGCAAAAAATTGGTAAAAGCACGTATTGAAAAGAATGAGAACATATTGAAAAAACACATTAAAAGCAAAATTTTAAAAAAGAAATATATATATATATATATAGATATATCTGTGTGTGTGTAGACGCATGTTCTTTGACTTAAAAATCAGTTCTCCAGCAACATTGACGAAAAAGACATCATTTTATAAAGTAATAGTAATCCATACTTTTCTTTAACGTACGCTTGGCAGAACAGGGATTAGGAGAGACAGCAAAATACAAGCCATTACTTAGAGTAGAAAGCTACAAAGGACAGGACGTTATAGAGAACAATGATCGCCCACGTCCGAAATGGACACGGCACACAGAAGAAGAAGAAGAGCAGGAGGAGGAGGGGAACGTGTATTTTTATGACCGTGCACCGTGTCTGTATGCATGATGGCAGTTACATCTTTAATATCAGGCCAACAAATACCGTCATATGTTATTATTTCCATTCCTCTGTGTGTCTGTGTGTGCGCAAAGAGTATGGATCTCTCTGTGACGCGTATCTCGATTACGCCGACACGCTCATTCGTGGAGTCTAGCTACGATTACTTCTGCCTAGTTTTGAGGTGTACATTATGTAGTAGCAATAGTATCAACGGGTAAAATAAATTGCGATTCGTTTATATAGACATTATGACTTCAGTTATTCATCACATGCATGCTTACTCACCCATTTAGACTACACGCACATAGTTACATATGTACACACATACATCACGTAGATGGATAGATTTGTTCAGACGAGGTTATAGAACAAAATACGTACCTCGGACTTAAAAAAAATGACATTCATATTGAAAATATTGATATTTATCAAGACAAAACAGAATTAAGGTGCAGTTAATTCCTCCAATTAAATTCAAAAGTAATATTGATAACGTGTCTGATGTCATACGATTGGATTTCGTATTTTATGATAACATAATCTAGGATAGTTTCTATGGCTTTATTTAAGTACCTAGGTTTACGAATAAGTGTATATTGCTTTTATGCAAATGACTTTCTTTATCGAGTACTTATAGGTTTTTATTAGTATTTAAAAAAATGCCCTTAATAATTATTATAGGTTTGAATATCTACCTTCAAAAACAAATTAAATGCGCGCTCACGTATGCAAGCGAGACAATATCCGTTTATTAGACAAATCAATGCTTTTAGTTTTTTTGTTTTGTTTTTTTTTTCCTCCCAACTGATATCCATCTTTCAAATGTGCTTGCGTGTGTGTTTTTTTTTTTTCTTTCTGTACGCATGATATATACTTTGGGGATACATAATAAATTGTATCTATTTTCCTGTCAATGTTTTCTAAAAATAAGCTCGTAATAGGAAAATAAAAGAAAAGTTTTTTTTTTTTTGTTTTTTTTTTCGTTCTTATTACGATATTATGCTGCGCTGGTTAGGTTTTAATAGGAACCCAAAGATGTTGATTAATTAATTGAAGTTGCTCTCCTTCAGGCTTCAATCGCGTTAAAAGACTCGGCTATTATCGTCATGTTTATTACTACTAATACTATTAATAATAATAATAATAATATGACATTCAAATGAAAATCCTTAGTGTGGGTGTGTCCTGAGCCTTTCCAATTTAATTATTATTTTTAATAAACATTTTTCTTTTTTTTTCTTTTTTTTTTCTTTTTTTTTAATGAGAACTTTTGATCAAATGTTTATGAAACCCATTATTTTATGACCCATTTTAATAATAATTTGTGTCAGATTCCGACATCGCTTCGTATATTCTTAGTAAATTCCATCTCTCTATCTCTTTCTCACTAAGGACCACTTCTCCTAAGGTCCTAGGCGATCACAATTCCCCATATCCTCCTATAACTTGATTATGCTTGTCCAAGACAGCAGACTTAGTTATCTTCTCTACAATTTTGAATTTGAGATTTGATCTTCCAGTCTGGATGCCAACCAAGGCTAAATGATAAGACAGTCTCAGATTCTATTTAAACGCATCGCTGTGAGAAGGGAATAAACAAATAATAAACCGCAAAG